CGGAGACCGTTCTTCTTCGCTTTCTCATTCTCCAGAGTTTTTAAAAGCATAGAATTCGATTTTCGCTCTTTTCTTAGAGCTTTTCTCATCACATACTTTTGGTGTTGTTCCTTCTCGAGAGCTTCCCGCAAAGTAGATTTTGTTTTCCTCTCTGCCTCAAGGGCTTCCTTGTGCCAAGACTCCTCCGTTTCTTCATGTTTCTTGCTTGCGCAAGATGGTGAGTCTTTTGAGCGGGAGGAAACTGACGGCTTTTCAACATTCTCAATCTCCTCTGGGATCTCTTCTTCAATGGAATCTCCCACGCTATCACCTTTGAACTGAAACGGTTGTCGAGTCTTTCTTGAATCACCTTCATTCATTCTTCAAATCCTCACGTCACCCAGCTGAGTACATGTCACCGTACTCGCTTTTTGAAATTTTGTAAAATGTAATCAACAGACCTTTTGTCCATACTAGTCACACAAAAAAAAAAAGGATGTTATGTTCCAAATCCAAATCATCTAGGTGAGATAAACAAGGAATTTCAAGTGACACTGCAATTCATCAAAGGTAAATACAATATCATGATGTCAAAAATGAGATCATATAGAGACTTTTGAAATGAGATACATAGGGAACATGCTATTTTTTTTTTTAATCATGATACTTTATCCATCTTTTGAGAAAGCCTATCATTGTGTAATTTTACATTCAAGAGATACATGAATGTAAATGTAATGTAAATGTAAACATTCATGCACAGGAACATGGTTGAATCCGATTTTTTTGGGACAGATAAAAGCAAGGTTAACTTATATCAGACTTATCAGGAGAGAAAAGTATACAAAAGCAAAAGAACAGAAAACCATCCAAATCAATCCCTCATGGTGCTAACCGGGTTGAACCGGGGTTGAATGGTGTGAACCTTTATGACTGCTAACAGAAAAACCTTGCTCGTGTTTATTGATATGTGACTGCTGATTGAAGTAAAAAATAATAACTGTGAGGTGTATGGGACCGTACTTTACTCACATTCTATCAAATGTTACAAAACTGGTAGGATGGCGCATTGCAGATGAATAACAACCCCGAAGAAACTCGATCCAGACTTTTCAAAAGCATTCAAACTGACTTATTCAATGGAACATTGGGTGGCTTGAGCTCAGCTTAATAATGTACTCTTCGCTTGCCAGACAACAAAAGTGAAGGCACCAAGGCTTCAATTGTGAAGAAAACTTTGGTCATGTCCAAGGGCTCTAACCTTCAGGAAGTCATTAAGGGCGCTTTCGGAAAGTCACTTTGACACATGCGCACTACTCTGAGAGTGCGTGTGTGGGGAGAGGCAGAGCATGCTCCCCTTCAACGATTTACCTAACGCAGCTTCTGTTTTGAACCACTCAGCATCTCATGCTTAAACTGTTTCCATTAGGACTGCCTGACGCACCGGCGCACCGTATTCCCCAGTACAGCACTTAGAGCGCGCACTGAGTTTCCAAACGGTCGGAGTGAACTAGTGCGCGCTCAGAGCTGATTTCCGAACAGGCCTTAAACTTCTTGTCCAAATACTTTTAAACCACTGAAAATATCGGTACTTCACATCAAACGGCAAAAAATATTGAATGATGAATGTCAAGACTCTCTAGTAGTCACAAAGCTCAGGCTACGTCCCTGGTCATCGTAAAGAAAGCTGGACTCGCCATTGGCCGAGCATTATCAGGAAGTATTATGAAGTCACAAAGGCTGCACAATATTTCGTGAAAATATCGTTACATTCTAAATATTGCAGTGTTATCAGTATCGCTTATATTCAACACCCATATTGCCCTTTTTTTCCAAAACCACGCAGCCCTAGCAGTCGCTTACTTGCATCTGACAGAGCTGCCTTCTGAAACGGCATTATTTCAGCAAGACAAGAAATACGGTGTGTTCAGTGACATACCTTTTTTTGATTGTTGGAGTATTCTGACGAAAGCGTTCCATCAGACGTGATCTGGGAACTCTTTTAACCTGTGAACAGTGGCGGGCCGTGCATTTCAACCTTAGGCCTTCAGTGACGTCACATACATTAACACAATATAGGCTCGTCAAGCAGCACTTAATTTCAGGAGCATTTAAAACCATCAAGTGTGCATTCACAATTAAGAGCAGAAAACTAAATTTACAGATATTGTCAAAAATAAAAAGATGATTTAAAAATACGAAGTAAAATGCCACCCAAATTACGCTGTGTGATCTTAAACAAGTCTGTCCAATAAATTGCGCAATGTCGCAGTTTCATATAAGACACCAACCAAACAATAACAAAAAAAACTATTCTTTGAAAATAAAGTTAACAGATCATTTGCATTTTGAGAAGAGGCTACACAACAGCAAATAACTGAAAATATTGAGCAGCTGAGATTTAACGAACTTTAGTGCACGAAGGTGACTACAATGCGCCATTATAAATTGCACGTGAGCAGATTTATTTGATACATTTTTGTATCTTTGTCATTTTATTTCGTTAGTATTAAATTCATGGTAACGAAATAAAATGACAAAGATACAAAAATGTATCAAATAAATCTGCTCACCTGCAATTTATAATGGCGCATTGTAGTCACCTTCGTGCACGAAAGTTCGTTCAATCTCAGCTGTTCGTCAGTTATTAGTTAGTCAGTTATGTCAGTTAGTGGCTGTTGTATCGCCGATTTTCAATCGTTAGTATTAAATTCATGGTAACGAAATAAAATGACAAAGATACAAAAATGTATCAAATAAATCTGCTCACCTGCAATTTACCTTATAATGGCGCATTGTAGTCACCTTC